AGTGGTTTGCTTGTAGCTGCGCTGTGCTGTGCCAGCACCTTCCTGCTGAAGTGGTCAGTTTCCCATGTGGAAAACCGCAGCCTGGCTGTGCTGTCATCTTTGGGCCATTTATTCAGGCTGAGGATTAAGCGCCCTGCAGATGTGGACACACCTATCGCTGTTCCCCACTCAAGGCAGAACCGTGAAACTTCCATGAGACCTGGTGCCTGAGCTGATAAAAGCGCCTAGACGTGAGATGAGCCCTCGTGGAGCAAAGCTGTTGTCTCCTACACGTGGGCATGGGGACAAGGGGACATCCACGTGGCTCCGTGTGCCAACTGCCCACTCGATGCTGAGACACCAGGCTGTGCTGGGACCAAGGCAGCTCCCACTCGGCTGTGCCTGTGCCTTGACCTCGGCCACGTCCTTTGATCTTCCCATGCCTCCTTGTGCACAAACGGTAGCTCTTCGGTGCTTGATTACCCTGAAAATAAACTCCATACTACTCATCATGTGAATGAGTTGCGGGGAAACTATTATTTCCATTTCTCCTTGCAGTTTTATCACTTGTTTTCCACATCCTCTGGATACTAGTGCAAATCAGCGAAGAGCAGAGGTCCTGGCATAGCATGACCCTGACTCATAACTAAGTTTCCTAACGATCCTGAAGCTCTCCAGAGAAGCAAGAGCAAACACCAGCACAAATAGGAAATGTGTAGTACAAAGTCCTAGGCAAACAGTTGCCCCTAGGAACCCTTCAGTGAGTAAGTACCCCTTGTCAGCCTTGCAGATCTCCATCCCTGCCTCTGCCCCGAGACCCTCACAAGAGTCCAAACATTTCATTACGTAAGGAGATATACAGGAGTCAAGGTCAGGTCCTTGCAGGTCCCCTGCTCCCACCTACCCTCAGAGCCTACCTGGTGCCTTCATCTCTGCTGCCTGCTGCTCGTCCTTGCTGCTAACTTCATGCTGCTGGCCAGGCTGCAGGGAAAGGGAAATTATGCAAATCCCACCTAATGATTTCAGGGCACAGTATATGTAGTGTGTGATTCGTTTTGTCGGGATATTTGTTCCTGAGATGTAAACATTGTACAGTGATTCTGAAATGTGTCGGTGTGGATTTTGTAGCTGAAGGCCCAACAGAATAATTGAATTGTCCCCCTTTCACCTGGCCAGAGCACTCATCTTCAGTTTTGCCTTAGCTAGCAGCTACTGTACCAGTTACATTTTGATAATGTCTTGCTTCGCAGCCCCTGGCTAACCACAAATTGATCCTGATGTGCAAAACCACTGACTGTCAATGCTGAGTTGTTGGGATGCTTTTTACCAATCAACACCACTCCGAATCCATCCATCTTCCCTTCGGCAACTTTCCGCTAAGGTGCTTTTGATGCAACAAGCTGTGGCAGTTGGCCTTGCAAAGAGAGATCTGGAAAAGGGGGTTGCAGCTTCAGTTTTATAAGCTAGAAGAGAAGGAATGAACTGGGGTTGTCACCTGTCACTTGAACTGCAGGTCTTTCTTCCTTTATGTTTAATCTCTTTGTCGACAATGAACTATGAGTCACTGGGTAATTAATGCAAAGGTAGCTTCTCTCTCTGCCTTCCCTTTCTTTTTTTTCCCCCCTCTTCTTCTTTCCCTGTGCAGTTCAATTTCTTTCTTGTTAATTAGCTCAAACTAGATTTCCCCAGAGACCTGGACAGCTGGATCATCAGTCAGTAATCCAGTAATTCCCTTGGACACACCAGCGTCCCCCGTGTGCTCCTCTACAGCTGCATTTTGAAAGTTTCACACTCCTCCAAGGTAGGCAGAATGCACGCAATGCTGCGAACAAAGTCCTCCTTGTCCTCAGAGCAAATTTGAGCATAGCTGGCTGCAAATTATCAGCAGAGATTCTCAACATGTTACCAGACAAGTTAAAGCAACAGCCTGTGCAAAAGGAACGTGTTTCTCACAGAGGTCTACCTTTGAAACCTTCCCTGAAATAATCATCACAAAGCACAGCTGGAAACTCTTAAGTGCTTTACCTGAACTTTTGTGTGAGGGTTGACAGTCATCATTGGCATCGTAAGTTTTGAATATTGTAGTAGGAGAATAAAGTAGTAGTAAATTACTAATTAATCACTGGTACTTAAGTAAGAAAGAACAAGTGTCTGTTTCTAATGCCCCAATCAACATTGCTGGACTTCACTCCTTTTTCAGTGAAGCCATCCCTGGGCTGTAATGAGCCAGGGAGGAATTTTTCTTAACTGCCCCAGTACGGTGTTGGTCTGTGTTAGATGTTAGTGACTTTACCGAGGTTCAAATAGGAAAAATAAATAAATAAATAAATAAATAAATAAATAACCAGGCTTGAGAAATTACTCGTTCAAATGCCAAATCGAAGAAAGTGGAAAACAAACAAACAAAACCCCAACGACCTTTTCTTTCAAATTGCTCTGAGAACCCTCAAAGAGCATCAGCAGTATTCTGCGTAAAACAAAATCTGGGCATAAAATAAACGGCGTGCGATACAGTTGCATCATCACCTGTGGGTGTTCCTACGGCCAGCAGCACATTTTAGGCAGGCCCAGCACCCGGAGCTGCTGCTGCTGGTGGTTCTCGTGCCGCATTAGCGGTTCCTTTGCCGCTGGCGCCGCTGCGGGCACCCCGCGGGCGCGGAGGGGACATCAATGTCATATCCAATGTCACATCCTCCTCCGCGAGCGGCTCCGCGCTCGGGAACGCGCTAGGCCGGGAGATCGTCACTAGATGGCCCCGCAGCCTAAGCGATTCGGGCAGAGCCGGGCTTAGGCTGGGTGATCGCCCCGCTTATTTTTCAGAAACGCGGCGCGCGCAGAGGAGCGGGATTTACCCCAGCACCTCGGGCAGGGCGCAAGGGCCGCCTCAAAAGGCGGCGCGAGGCAGCCGGAGAGAACCACGTTTGCCAGCCTGGACAGAAAAAGCTGGGCATTTTTGAAGGGAAACGGGTATTTTCGTCCGGTGGTTACGGGCAGGGTACGCCCGCAGCGCGTGTCGTGCTCTGGTCGCTGTCCTCCCCTCAGGCGGCAGCCTCGAGAGGCGAGAGATGGAGACAGGGCCCCGCTGCCCCTCTCAAAACATGCATGAAAATGTAGATTTTAACGGTCGTACCGACCTGCTAATCAAACAACTCGCAGGGTTTTGCAGATTTGAAGCCACTGCGACACAAAATAGAGGCTACCAAAATTTCAGCCCCGCTCATTTGCAGCAATTCATGGGGGAAAACAAGCAATCGAACCCCCAAAGCACCCACGCAGCCCCCGGCATACCGTGTTAGCTGGCAGGGCCGAAACCCCTGGCTTCACCTTTCCCTGGAGCAGGTGCTGGCTCCGTAGCTCTGCTTTCAACAAGAGCAGAAGTTCATTAATCGCCTTCAGCAGTTACCTGCTGCGTGGCCTCCCCAAATGTGGGGGAAAAAAAGGCAAAATATTCAGTCACATATCTTTAATGAACACACAAAGGCCCTACCCAGCGATTTACTCAGTCAGGCTGAGGGGAAGTGCCCAGGGATTTAGCTGGACTGTTGGCCCGAACAGCAAAGCGTCATAGCAGGGAGCTCGGTACGCAGCTCACCGTCCTAGTAAGCAAATGCCCCCGAAACCATGTTAACTCTTAATAATTATGCAGGCAAAGAATAAGAAATCAAATCATATGGGCCGAGGTTGGCTTTCTTTATGCTTCAGTCTGCTTCTTGAAATCCTCTGCAAAACAGAGGAAAGAGTAGCAAAGACAGAGTACAGTTTCTGTACCACATCTTTTGTAACTTATAAACTCTATATACTTAGGCCAGAGTACTGTTTAAAGCATGGATTTTAATTGCCTCCCTAGGCATCAGCTCTGGGCAAGGCTCAGAAGCTGGGTCCTGAAGCAGTTCAGCCCAAGTTACCAGAAAGAAATCGGAGAGCAAGAGGAGAAAGGAAAGACAAGGAAAGGATGGAAAAAGGAAAACTGAGCAGGAA